CAAGATGTAAATGAGGAATTTGCTGCACGCAAAAGGCAAAGGGGCCGACAGCTGCCAATCCCCTTGCAGGGGGAAGAGAGCTTCCGTAGTCTCCAGCGGGAGGAAAGAGAAGGGAACCAACAGGCTCGCTTCCCAGGGAGGTGAAGCGGGCTCTGAATATTCATACAGTGGCCATTTAGTCGTGGGAGTGTTAATTGTCTCTGATTCACAAAACTGCAGTGACCTCACCTGCTCCTGCAACATATCAAAAGGATGTGGCATAATGGAAGGACACCAGATAAGATATTTATCTCCCAAGTTTGAGGGGGCTTTTTGATGCACCCTCAAAAGACTGAAGCATCCCTTTAATCACTCAGTAACGACCGAGGTTCAGCGGAGCATATTATTAGACAGATAATAACCCTCACCCAGCCGAGATCTAAATACTGAAGTCATCCCGCACAAGATGAGCCGTCTGCAAAGTTTTGTTTCTTTTTTTTCAGAAAACATTCACAAAAACCTGAAGATGATCTATACACCCCACAGAAGTTTATCCAAACCTGTCATGAAATTCATACTCTTCCTCAGAACAGCTCATCTGGCTTTGATTGTGAAGACTGTAGGGTCTGGGGTTTTCAGGGTTTTTTTTGTTTGGGTTTTGGTTTGGTTTTTTTTACTAGTAACATGCAGAATAAAGGACCAGATATTGCTCCCCTGTGTACAGGGAGAAATTGTGTCAGGAATTCAGAAGGAAGCAATCCCAGGCTTTCTCCCAGAGGTACATGAAAGGAGAACTGCTTGACAATCATAGCTTGACCAGGGAGCCAGGGAGGAGGAAAGCAATAGAGAACCTGCCGTGAGAGGTTTAGAAATGCACCAGGCGGTCCAAAAAATCACAGAGGGAGCAAGCTTTGGAAGATCTATTGAGCTCCACAAGAAATCAAATCTGTCCTTCAGCAGAGAACCAACTAAATTTGGTTCAGACAGATTGTGTTTCAGTACAGCTCCCATGCCCCTCCTGCTACCTCCCGTCTTCTCAGCTCCTTCTAAAATGTAACATGTTGAGTCTGTGCCTTCCTCCATCCCCCCCCAAAAATAATCAACCTGGGAAAAAAAAAAAATCCTTCTGAAATCTCAAGTCTGTGCAGTCTTAGTCAGCCTTCTGATTACCCTTTTGTGCAGCCAGACTGTTCCGCAGTGTTATTCTGACAAAAAAAAATTGTCTATGACTAAAATGAGAAAGTACACACAAATTACTTCACTTCCCCAACCCTACACAGAACCCACCATCCAAAAAAATGTTATCACAGAAAAAAAATATAATTAGACTGCACCCTTCTGATGTAAACTGAGCTGCTTCTCTCAATGATCACAGGCACTCTTCAAAGCCTCCGAGATAAAAAGAATCTTATCATTCAAATTACTACTTCTTAGGGATGCTCTTATCAAAGTTCGAAGGGAAAATTCTAAAAACAGCAGCGACATGAAACCAGGACTGAGCCATATTTTACGTGACACTGGATTTTCTGCCAATTGGCCGATTCGCAACTCCGAAAAGCAAGCGTAGATGAAGACAAAGCTGTTGGCTCTCATAACCTTTACAATATCGCAGTAGAAATCTCAACTGTCTCACATATTTATACTAAATGGCAGGTCTAAAATTGAGATTTGTAATTTCACAGCATCAAAATCATCACAGATGGCTACAGTCTATTGCTTCTTTAATCTGTCTTTCCTCCCTTGCTGCTTGTTTTCCCCCCTCCTCCTTTAAGAAGATATGTGTTTTATCAGAAGGAAATCATAGCTAAACCCAAACCACATTAATATAATGTGTAACAAAACAATTTGCATAACAATGATGCATACAACCGAAGTTTGAAATTACTTTTATGTCTCAACTTTGCCCTAAAGCACTAATTACTTTAGCCTCGAGATCTGTCACTGGTTGGGATAGCCATGTTCCACCAACGATACTCCACATTTATGTTCTCCTAAATAGACAGCCATTAAGTTTAATCGCAATAAAGAGTGTTGCCAGCAAATAGTAGTATATTAAATAGCAACAAGAAAAAGCAACAGCAAGTTGGCTTTTGCACTTAGCATCCAGCTCACAGCTACAAATTCGGCTGTAAGCAGAGAATCGGTGCTCAGCTCGTATTTCTACTGATCAGGACCACTCCTGTGTCACACCTGCAAAGCTTCCCAAATAAATATGGATTAAACACTTGGCTCCCTGCCTTTCCTGCCCTGAGTTTTTACATACATACATATATGCACATATAGATGTTCAGTAAGAAAACTCCATCAATAAAGACAGCTGGAAAAAAACCTGACAAAGTCCAGCAGTCAGAGGAAGGACAGGCTTTTGTCACCATATTCAAACACCTCCGTGCCACCAACACAATTTTTTAAAAATCCTGTTCAAGGTCAGAGAGTCATTAACTCCCACTCCAGGAACCACTTAAGATGTGAAGTGGCTTCCTATTACGCTTCCCACGCGGACATCAGAAATTAAGCAAAAGCAGCTCAAGGAAAAGGCATTATTTAAAAATCAGAAGGTTGAGTGAACTTGAAGCAGCGTTCAGGGCAACCGAAGCACCAGCTCAGCCATCTCAGGGAGCTCCAACCCCTCCCGTGGATCTCCCAACAAGCGCGAAGCCCCAACCCGCTGGCTTCCACTTCTGCTGCCCACCGAGCTTTTGTCAAACATTTAAGATCTTAATCAATCCTAACTGCGACCCCAGGATTACAGGGGGAAGATAGATGAGCAAGAGGACAACCTCTGACCTTTCCTTGTATTTGTCCCGCCACAGCCAACCTATTGAAAAACAGCTGAGGTGGAACCTGCTCACCCGTCCCAGCCCAGCACCCTCCCTACCCTCTGTATCAAAACCACAGGAATCCTCCTCGCTTCATCTTCCTCCTCCTCCCCTCTGAAAACCTGCTGGAGCAGAACATTTGCTGAACTACGAAGTTAAAAGCAGGGAAAGAAAGAGAGGAAGGTCTCCTTCAGCAGTGTCAAAGGCCAAACTGCTTTCAAGGTCTCACTGGAAACCACAGAGCATCGTTCTGGTAAACTTCAAAACTTCATGAAGAGGAGGTTCCCAGTCAGCTGTTCTGGCTGGAAAACAGCAAATGTGAGAGAAGGAAACCACAAATAACTGCTGGTGAAATGGGTTTAGCGCTTTAAAACGCCGTGCTGGCTCGAATCCTCTCAAAATGACTAATCCAGGCCGACTTCACCCCAGAGAGCCCAAGAGTCAGAACGTTTCCGTCTCCTGTGTAAATACGGCATCTCCTGATCTTCCTTTCACTTGGGAGGCAGAGCACTGGGTATCCCGAGCCCAAGCCTCGACGGGTGAAGGCGAGAGCGACCTTCATCCCCGAGATCTAGTTCAACACCACCACAACAAATATCAGCAGTGCCCACCAGCAAAACCTCGAGAGATTTCCCTTGAACAGCACAAAATTTGTCAGGCAATGAGCTCATCACATCTGGGCCACTGACATCAAAAAGTAGTAGATTTGTGTCAACGAGAGAGCGACCCAGGACTGACCTAGCAGGCCTTCAGAAGGCAGAATAATCTCCGTGCAATAAAACATGTCACAGGGTTCCAAAAAAAAAAAAAAAAATTATAAAAAAAGACAACAACAAAAACCAAACCCAGTCATTTACCCCAGACAGGATGCCCTGTCATCATGCTGCCCGTCTTTCGGTTCTCTCCACAGGCCATGGTAATCCTGTTGCCGACACGGCACATTTAAGCTTTTCCCATCCAACGAAACCACTAAAAATTAAGGCCGAGGTTTATACTTAGCGCTTCTTTCGTGCCAAAGCTTAATTTCAATGCACGATAATGAACTTCACTGTAAATTATCACTTAAAAGAACTCAAGTAGGACATTCAAAAGACCCTGTTCTCTTAGGAGTCTAACACAAAGGCAGTCAGTTACTTGCTCAGCAAGTTCTCAGTCTCAAAATGAAAAAAAATGACATAGTGAAAATCACACCAAGAAGACATGGAGCAAAGTCATCTGGCTCCAAAGAACCATTTTCTAAAAAACAAGGTTCCAAACCCACTAAGGAACTGAGCACCTTCAATTCAGCACCCAGCAAAATTAAGCCCACTGACCTGTGCAAGAATCCATTTAAGCTCGATCTGAATTCATGCTTATGTGAGCAAGAGTTTAGAAGCCGAGGCTAAAGATGTTTTATTTATGAACTCTCTTCTCTCCTTCCCTAACCTTTTACAACTTCTTTTTCCAGCCAGGGGAGGTGAAGAGAACGTAGGTATTGAGGTTTTTTTTTCTTTTTAGGCTAATCTCTCTTTTATACAAACTTTAATCCCTAATTCTGCAGCACACAGGATGGTGTGTGTGGGAGGGTGGGGTGGAGACTTTTAGCATTTCTAAGAGTATCCTAGCACCTCTATTATTAAGCAGACAATAGAGACCCTCTGAGAAATGAAAATATTTAACAAAGGCTGCAGTGTCAAATATCAAAGGGTATTTAGCGCTAAAAATTTGCAACAAGTAAAACACCAAAGACTTCCCCTTCCCAAAGCAGGGAAAGTAATCCAGCTACAACTCCTGCTCCCCCCTCCCCGACTGGTTTTTACCCCAACTGCGTTATGCCAAGGAGACTTTGTCAGAATTTCCCGTGCTTCACAAAGTTCGCCTCAGATAAAGCTTGAAAGATTTGCCTCTTTAAACACCGGGAGCTCAACCGCGTTGTTTTGCAGCCGTTCACATTTTGGTGACTATCGTGAGCCAACTCAAATTTAGGCGCCTGCTCGAAAATGTGTTTTGCCTTCTGCCTCTTACAGCAGTGTCGTTTGTTTTGCATTAGACGATTCTCACCCTCGCCACCTGCAGCTATCGGACTTCTTCATTAACCCCTCTCTGTCCCACCGCATCCCACAGGGGCTGCTAATTACTGGCTTCACTCCATCTCCTCTCATCTCTGACTCAATTACGCATTCGACTAAGCCCTAATGAAGAGTACAATATGGCTCGTCCTACCTTGGCATTCGCCGTTGCGTTCTTCGTAGCCAGCGTTGCACAGGCAGTTGCCAATGGGCACCAGCCACTCGCCATCTGCCCCGCAGTACATTTTTGGCACATCCTTCTCTTCCGAGTTGTTGACACAGGAGCCGCGAACCTCCACCAAGGAGGACGTATCGGCCCCAGTGATGGTGTCTGGAAACTGCGCCAGGTTTCGCACCGTCAGCGGGCACTTCTTGTAGAAGACACGAACGGACACCAAAGCAATGCAGGCACCGACGTCCTGGAAAGCCAAGTAAAACCCCTTCTTGCTCAGCGGCCCCACGTCCCGTATCTCTGTGTTCAGCTTCATGATCCTGTCGCCGATGTCCACCTGGGTGAAGCTCTCGTCAGCGGCGATGGTGTCGATCTTGGCAAACTGGCTCTCTCGGATGAAACGCTCCTTATCGTTGTTCGATTCGTAGTAGTAAAGGTTGAAAGTCTCTTTGCAAGTTCCCATGACGCCTGGCAGGCTGTTGCAGTCTCTTAGCGTGAACTTGATTTCAATATAAACCCTCTGAGCCCCCTCACGGGGAATCCAATCAGTTCGTAACCAATTATTCTGACTGGGCTCCATCACGTTGCACACTTGATAGGTGCGGATCGGAGTGTTCTTCTCATCCATAATGCTTACCTCCTCCCACTGCCAAGAGGGAAAGGGGAAGAAAAACCCATCAGTATTAAAAAGGAACAACAGAGCTTTGTAGAGAATGTGTTGCCACAACCAGTGTGGAGATCTTATTTAAACAAACAAAAAAAAACCCTCATAGCCAGGACCTCAACTACTTGGACGTTAAAAGAAGAATCCGCTCAGGAGAGACGAGCTCCAAATCAAGTAACACCTCGAGGAGCAAGCACGTGTTTTCAAGCCCCCTGAACCAATCCAAGCACTGAGTTGTGCTGCAGTTCAGCCCACGGGACTGCTACCAAGGTCCTGGCGTGCTCCACGACTCTTAAACCCCTCAGATCAAGCTCGGGCATCTTCAGAAGCACCAAACAACCAAGCAACAGAATTATGAAACGACAAGACCACGTGCAATGCAAGGAAAGTATTTTTCCCGTAATTCAGCAGTTCAGCATGACGAGCTTGGGAAAGCAACGCACGCATAACCAACGGTTTAGAAAAATAGTTGTTTTAAGGATTATCATAGAAAGAAGGAAGTTTATCACAGCACTCTCCTGGTGGGGCGAGAGGGGGATGTAGGGCCATTAGGGAAGGGGAAAAAAAAATTTTAAAAAACCCCACAGTAACAGAAAAATCTTTCTTAAAAAACCAATATATTAGGCAATGATATACTGTCTTAGTTTGAAGCCCAGACAATGAGGCAAATGAAATTACCCTTGGAAAATAGTAGCAACTTTAAAGATCCCTCCTAGAAGTGCTTTTCAGAACTACTGAGGCCATGGCTTTGACAAACAGAAGACTTGTTAACATTAAGGAGCTTCTTGTGTAATATCCTGCAGTCTTCTCGCAAGGACTGCTCTTACGTAAGTGATTTTTACTTAAAACTTCGCTGAATCCATTTATAGAACGACAGTAGTTAGCACCGTGAGTCACTAGGAGCAGAAAGAATAGTATTTTATTTGCTGCCTAGAGATAACTGCAAACTAAAATGAAGGAGGGGAGAAATCAATACTCAACACGTCACTCCTTTCCACACACACACAAAAAAGAAAGGAAAAAAAAAAATCCACCTTAAAAAATCATCTATCAATATAAAGCCTAACGTGGCGTTAGCAAGAAGACAGAGTTGTTTAATTTACAGCTGCCACAGACCTAGTTTGTTGTTACAGTATTGTCTTTATGATCCATCACTTTCCATTCCGCTTATCTTCAGCCTGTCTGCGCCACCTGGGTCGTGTGTGGCACGGGAGAAAGGAAGAAGCAGAGGGAAATAATACTTGTCGATGGGATTTCCTTTAGTGCATGTACACAATGGAGGATGCCGCTAAAAGGATTCAACCGAGAGACCGCCGAGGTCAACGGACAGACCGCGACGGGATTCAGCGACTTCCAGATCATGTTCTCAACACGCCCTTGTCTCCAGAGCTGGGGTTCTCATCCCTTACATAAAACACACCTAAGCGTGTCCTGCTGCCAGAGCTGAAAAAAAAAAAAATCACAACAGCCCCGAATTTCCAGCCTCTGGGAAGGATTTGTGACTCTTGACTCCGTGGTCAAAGCTGGAACTTTTTGCTTTCAAGCTGAAATTAAACTTCTTTAATTCAACTCTTCCCACGGTTTAATGACACAGGGTAAAATATTCTGGACACAAAACCTGCTTTTCAACTGTGAAATGCAAGAGTAAATCATTAATTGCATTTATAATGCAATTCATTAATTCCTCCAGGGCTACTGTATATTTGATTACTTCTAGTCACTGCTAAATGACTACGTTTATCTCCAGCCCTTCTTATCCACTCAACCCTCACACCTCGGGAGCTGCGTGGTATATAGATCTAGAAAAAAAAAAAAAAACACATCACCCTTTTTTACAGACAATAAGGCACACACAGTTGAAGAAAAACTAGCACTGAAGAATAAAATCTTCCCAGGAAGACGAAGGAGTTACATTTCTGTTGCTTGAAATAAATCCGCAGCATGTGAAGTTAAAATAAACGCTTTCCAAGCACTACATCTCAGAGACAGACTATGTACTCTTAAATTTTTCACTACCGGCTTAAAAATAGAACACGCGTATGTGGGTTTAGTGAAAGGAGTCACGTCCACAAGGAGAGCACACGTTCCCCCCTCAGGCTCGCACGGCGCTTTCAGAGACAGCACAGGGAGAAAAGGGGGGATCCAACTGCTTCTCACACTATACACCCGTCCCCTGAGCGTCATCAGTGCTACTACCCACTTATTAAAACTTGGTTTAGGTCATGCTTTAATATATGACATGGACATCCCTTAGAGAGCTGCGTGAAGGACCCTGTCTCGTTAATCGACCTTCCCAGGGTAGAGGACAACCGAGGAAGCCCACACCGTCAGGAGGCACTGCCAAAGCCCTGTCAATCACTGCCCTGTTCTCAAGAAAAAAAGAAAAAAAAACTACAGAAAAAAACCCGAGTTTTGAGGAGAGCACAGCACGCTCAGGCACAGCACAAGGCAGGAGCGTTGTCAAGTTCACCCAGAACGACAATGGGGGAGCAAAACAATTCCCCTCCGTTGTGTTCTCCCCACGTTATGATTGTTCAGAGCTCATGCATAATGCATCACCAGCCAACAGCCTCGGATTCCTTCCACTCGCTGCTGGTTCCTTAGCTCGGCTTCTTCTAATTACGAGTGAGAACGTACACGTATAGATGCACGCACACAAAAAAAAAAAAAAAGAAGTAAATTTGTAGGTTTCCTGAAGAATCCAGTGCTTTGTTGTGCACAGGTCCTGATCTTTCAGCACTTTTAATTTCCAGCTGGTTCGACTTAGTTGCTTCTGCTTAAGCATACTAAGCTGATTTACTCATTTAATATCAAAAACATTTAAGGTACTTTTTTAATATATATATATAAAATGTTTAGAGTGCATTGCTAGCATTTTTCTGAAATTGTTCGCTTCAGGAAAGCAAAACCTTTTTTAATTGCTTGTTAAAAGAAAAAATAAGAATCCCCAAGTGAAGCACAGCCTCCATCAGACCTCACCAACTCCAAATCCCAGCGCTCTCAGGAGTTTCCCACAAAGGCCCTGGGCACCCTGCAGGATGGGGCACAGACGAGCGAGCAGCGAGGTGCTCAGTCACTAATATTAAGCTAAATTAGCAGAGATACCTTGCCTGCAGCTTCCTAATCAGAAGCCCCAGCCCCAGCCGTGCAAACAGAGATTCCCAGTGCCATGACATCACCACCGGGCAGTGAATTCAAGCAATCTTCTCTGAGAATTGTCTCTTTGGAAAGCATGGAAGACGAAACTCCAAGGAATCGCCATCGAGCACCAGGATGCTTCAGTCTGTCTGTTCAGAGAGCAAAGCGTGGGATGTTTTACACCCTGAAACGGGACAACTGCCCCGTCGTGCTGAAAGGTTTGTCTCGTGTATCGATCCCTGCGCCTCCACCCAGAAACACAACAGCAACTGCCCTGGACATCTCCCAGTCGGGACAGAACAATCCCGGTCAAGAACACCAGTTCAGTCGCCGGATCGCGTTTCTTGCTGGTATTTCGGTTTTTAAGGAGGCACCGAAGCCCCCCCCCCGGTACCTCAACCAATCCCCTAATCCCAAAACCTCTTTTCTACCCTTTTGGTTTCTACTTCTTCCATGACACAACTATCCGAAGGGAGTATAGAGTTTCTGCAACAAAGAG